AACCCAGTCATTTGGGAAAAGGCTCTCAGGATACTGACTGAATGCATCCCAAACAGCTCAACTTCCAATTTGAAGCTGTAAATCTGAACCTTAGATTTATAGCAACCTATCTTTGGCCAAGTAGAATATTACTGTGTGTTTTGACTATCCATTATAATCACTTGTCATTTTTTTTATGTACAGGTGTATTTATTTGATCTCTTTGCTCATGAACCTAATAGGTTTATAATCTAGATACATGGTCATTAACCTAGTAACTAGAAATGTAAGACGCATTATAAGATATACAAAGAAAAGGCAGAGAACTTATTTTCCTGCTGGTTCATATGAAACTCCTTCCATAACAGAATGTCTTTTTTTTTTTTTTTTTTTTTGGTTGGTTGTAGGGTCTGAACTCTGGGTCTGGGCACTGTCCCTCAGCTCTTCAGCTCAAGGCTAGCGCTTTACCACTGGAGCCACACCACCACTTCCGGCTTTTTCTGCTTATGTGGTGCTGAGGAATTGAACCCAGGGCCTCATGCATGCAAGGCAAGCACTCTACCACTGAGCCACCTTCCCAGCCATGAGAATGTCATTTTTTTCTTTTCCCAGGGAAAAAGACTAAAATTGCCCTTGCCAAGATGGACATATATGCAAAGTGACAAAAGTGTATTGCCTTTTACAGAGCATTCAGATAAGCATATTAGCATTTTATCACTCCAGTAACAACAGTTATTATATACAAAGTTGCTATAGGTTTTTTTTTTTAAGATTTTTTTCCTTTTAGGTTACCTCTGAGTATATGATGCTAGTGTTTTATTTATAAAAGCAACATTTAGGGACACTTTTGAAAAAGATACCTGATTCAATAATATTGTTTTCATCCTATTGTATTTTTGAAATTAGCTCTAGTACACTTCTACATGAAGCTTGATTTCGTAAACTCTGAAATCCAGATTGATCCAGTCCCTCTCCTGAAAGGACTGGGCTACATGACACTGAATCAAGCGAGCATAGTAACACCTTCTTCCCGCTCTTCCAGTTCCTCTGACTGAACCTAGACGAGAGTCTGCTTGCTGCTAGCAAGGTATCATCACAGAAATCCTGGCGAGGCTCCTTTTAAACAAAGGGCATCTCTTTAGAGAACTATGGTTTGTAGTCAGAAGCCAAGAACATTGTTTTGTTGTTTTCCTTATTTTGATCTACATGTCTACCTTTTGTTTATGGCAAGAGCTACGAGGTTTTAATATAGTTATTTCTAATTTTCTTTAAAAACTATTTTAATAATCACACTGATGTAAAGAAATGGTATACAGGAAATACACAAGGCCAGAATTTTGCTGATGATCTAAGAATAACCTAAGTTTCAGAAAGACGACATTAATTCATCTGATCAATAAATAAGTACTTGCTATGGCCTAACTATCAGAGAAGTGTAGAGAAGAATCTTAACACATAGGAAGGTCAGAGGAAAAATTAATTCAAAATGAGCTAATCAGAGTGGATTCACAGACATGAACTGATATGTAGAAAGAGAATTCCAAGAGAGGAAAGAATACAGAGGTCCAGATGATGGCATAGCCATTTGATTTTATTAATGGCTACAGGGTACACATTCCTTAAACACCCTTGAAACATACCACAAAACAGTGGCATTTTGTTGTATGAAACTTTTTCCTTTATAAATGTGATATTATCATTGACCTACAAAAGGAAAGGTTGCTGAAATTTCAGCCTCAGCTTGGTTAAGAGGAAGAATGAACAGAAAAGGGAAGCCAGCTGCTAGCGGCTCACACCTGTAATCCTAGCTTTTTGGAGATTAGGAGGGTTGTGGTTAGTGGACAATCTGGGCAAAAAGTTAGTGAGATCCTATTTCAACAGAACAAGTGAGGAGAAGGACAGATAGGAGAATCGTAGTCTGGAGGACCTGCAGATCTGGATCAAATCAAGACCCTAACTCAAAAACATCAGAGAAAAGGGGGCGCAGGTGGGAGAGAGCCTGCCTAGCAAGTCTGGAGCCTTGAGTTCAAAGCCCAGTACTACCAAGCTAAACAGTGGGAAACCACTCCCTTAAAAACAAAAATAAATAAAATAGGAGCTGGTGCTCCAGCCTGTAATTCTAGCTACTGAGGACGCTGGGATCTGGAGGATCAAAGCCAGCTCTGGTAAAAAAAAAAAAAAAAAAAAAAGCCCTCCAGATTCCACATCCAAAATATAGCAAAAAGCTGGGCTGAAGTGGTGACTCAAGTGGAAGATTGCCAGCCAGCCGAGCAAGCTTGAGGACCTGAGCTCTCACTCCAGAAAAATAAAAAATAATTAAAAAGCAGAAAGACAAGGGAATTCAGTTATTTTCATGGGTTCTGGAGTACACCAGTATCAGCTGATGTGGTATGGAGAAGCACCCCACAGAAGGCTCCCTGCTCTGATGTGTGGTCTTCACATGGTGGTGGAAACCGTAGTGCAGGTGCATAGTTGAAGTTAGCAGATCACTGGGAAGCTCTTAAGGGCTGTCCTGTCTGTCTGTCTGGGCTTCCAGTCTACCACGAGGTGACACAATAACTCTGCCACAGCCTTCTGCTGCTGGGACATCCTGCCCCACCACAATGAGTAGAGTGTCAACAGGCTGGAGAGGGGTGGGGGGTGGGGGGAGAGACCTCTGACCTGAGCAAGGCCCTGTCCTCCTTTAATGCCAAATATTTTTATCAGTGACAAAAAGCAATCAATACCACTTTAAGGAATTTAGCAAAATAATTTAAGAATGCATTCAACACTTAGATCCTGTTGTTAGTAATTTAGAAATAAGGGTCTCAGAATGCTAAATTTTAGCCTTTAGCTCCTTTTGATGACCTACTTAAAAATTATGTAGTTATGAAATATTAAGTACCTTCCAGGTAATATAGGTTTTAGTTTTAAGAATTCTTAACTAGAAGAGGGAAATCATCATCACAAAAGTAATGTGATTATCAGCATGTCTTCACTTGTTGGACTCTTAAAACACCATTCTGAATAAAATCAATAAGGATCATAAAATCAAATTCAAAGTATGAATTAATTATAGTTCAAAAAAAGCGTCAAGAGACCAGGAAGACATCCCCTTGAAAATGAACAGTAAAGACTCACAGATGTGTGTTTCCCTAATATTAAAGTTTTACTAAGGATCAGTAATGCTTTTGTTTAATGTGCTAACAAACAAAAGGAATTTTTAGAGTTGAAAATGGACTTGGCTCAAGTATAGCAATTTTTAAATTTTATTCTAAGAAATGCAAACAGGGTAGCTATACAAAAACAGGCTCTCTGGCTAGGTAAATTTAGAAAATGCTATGAAAACAAACTTCTGAAGTTTATGTATATGTAAGCACAGTCATAACTTTTGAGGAGTCCTGTCTGTGTAAGAAAAGTGTTTATGTCAAAAGTTGCACTTAACCAAGTGATCTTCCAGATCCCAAGCCATCTGCTATTACCTTCATTGTGTGTAGTTACTGAGGCTTGAACTCAGGGCTCAAGTGTGGCTCCTTAACTGTGGCACTCTACCACTTAAACCACAGCTCCACTTTGTTGTTTGGTGGCTACCTGAAGTATCACAGACTCTTGTTTTGGGGCTAGCTTTGAACTATGATACTCAGATCTCAGTCTCCCCAGTAACTAGGATGTTATTAAGCAGTCTTTAGGGGAATCCTAATGAATGCTTTAGTATTCAGTGGAAACATCAGCTTGGAAAACTCCAGTCTTTTCAAATTCCCATAAAAAGAAAACAAAAGAAGCTTACCCTGGGCTGAAGGCTTGGGTCATTGGGTAGAATGCATAGGGAGCATGGGCCAGGACCTGGAGTCCATCCCAAGCATTGCTAAACAAAAAGCAAAGCAAAGGGCACACCCCAAAGCTAAGGCCTAGAGAGAGCACACAGGTCACCAATAGACTCAGCACTTATGCAGGCCAGGGCGCTTTCTGCGACTTCTACAGAACAGGACTTCTGGAGTGACGCAGGCAAACGTGTAATTGATAACAAATCATGTTTAACACCGGTGTCACAGTGTCACATTTCCTCGTTTACCTTCAATGTGCATTAACTCCTGGCGTGCTTCACTTGTGGAAAACAAACCTCGGGATTTTTAATGCTCTGTTGAAAATTGCCACCCTAATAATGAAGTCCAGCTGGTGACTGTGATTGCTTAGCCATTTCTGAGGAATGAAGTTTTGCTGAAAGCAATCATTAAAATAAGGCCTCTACACCACTTAGGGCTTTGATTTACTCCTAACTGGTGCTCAATGCCCAATCACCAAGTGAACTATCAGGTACTGTGTTCGTTACCCTGGCACACAATGCTGACACGCGTTATTTCTAGAAGCCCAATTAACATTTACAAACAAAATCCAAATGTCCACAGACACAATAGCCAACCACGTCCAACAAGAGCTCCTTTCACTGGCTCTCCACATTTCTGGGCTTCTACTTTTGTCATCTTTGGATGGATCTGACTACCGACGGCGGCTGCTTCTCATCTGGAACTTTCTCCAGTTCCGTAGAACTTTAGGGTAACTCAAGGTTAGCACACCATCCACTCGGCTCTCAAAAAACGCACACGCCGGCGGCGTGCGGGCCTTCCGCCCCCTCGGGCAGGGAGGGTGAGGACCTGGGAAGCCGGGAGCCGCGGCTGGCTCCGCGGGCTTGGAGACCCGAGGCCGGGGCGGTTAACTCCTTCCCCGTACTCCCGCCTACCGCCCCGCGGGCCCGGCCCCTGAGAGCGCACCGTGCCTCGTTTTCCCGGGCGAAGAGCGGACTGGGCGCGCCCGCCCCGCCGTGCGGCCCGCTCCGCCCGGCTTCCCCGCCACCCCCCGGCCGCGGTCACCCTCCACCCTGCGCCCGAGGTCCCCGCGCGGTGCTCGGCTCCACGGCGGCGACACCCGACGCCACCGCAGCCGGAAGGGCCGGGCCGGCCGGGCTCCGGCTGGAACCGGAGCGGTTCGCGGCCTCGCGGGCACGGACGTGCGGGGAGTGGGGGGGGGGGAACGGACGCAGTCACCTGTCAAGGGCTCGCGGAGGGACGGACGCGGTCAGCAGTCGCGGGCTCGCGGAGGAAGAGGCGGTCGCGGGTCGCGGGCTCGGCCGCCCCCGCCGGCGCCGCTCTCCTGGCAACCGGGAAGCGAAACGGAGGCCCGGAGCGCGGGGCCTAGTGACAGCTCCCAGCGTGCACCGCGCGCGCACGCCAGCGTCGACGTCGGAGGCCCGCGCTCCCGGCTCCGCCCCCCGCTCCCAGGTCTGGCCCCGCCCCTCCAACCAGGGCCCGCCCCTCCCACGGCCCCGTCCCTGGCTGTCACTCACTAGCAAAAAGCTGGAAATGGAGCTGAGGCTCGAGAGGTGGAGCGCTAGCCTTGCGCAAAAAACGTAAGTAACAGAGTCCAGAACGTGAGTTCGAGGCCCGGAGCCAACGCAAGGGCAACTTAAAAATAACAACCTCCAAACCGCACCTTAGGAAACTTAGTGTCATTAGACACATTCAAGAACTTTTTTTCAGAATGCTTCCAAGTTATGTTTGGCATACGGCAATTGTGACCTTGAGATGAGAAAATGGAACCCCAATGGTTTGGCTTTACACGAACCATCCCTGCTGGTTATAGCCTTCTGTCTTTCGAGAAGTCCCGTTGCAGTCCCAGTGTGGTGCTACATTTTATTTCTCCAGTGGAAGTACTTGCGATCCACAAGATCCCGTGGCTTGTAACTGTAAGACTTTCAAAAATCACTTTCCAGCAGCAATGAAATGAGGGTTTCTCTGAGTTAGTTTTACTTCTGTAAAATACTGTAAGCGCGCGCCCGGGGGGAGTCTCGTCTTCGGGCCTGCGATCCTACATACTTGGCTTCAGCCAAGCTCTGCAGCAGTTTGCAGTCCAGGTAAAGCCACAGGCCTGGCGGGATTCGGACCACGCCTCCGTTCCCACGCCTCCAGCGTGGGGCGCTCGGCGCCCGGCAGAGGGCGCTCGGCGCCCGCCCCAGTTCCGGGGTGGGCGACGCCCCTGCCGCCGCCACACCTGCGGCTTCCTTCCCTGCGGCCCCGCCCCCCCACAGGACCCGCCTAACTCCAGCCCTCGCCCCTCTCGGGCCCCGCCCCGACGCTAGGACCTGTGCCCAGGCCAGGTTCCGCCCCTGCCCGGGCCACGCCCCCGCCTCGGGCCACGCCCCCGCCTCTGGCCACGCCCCGACGCCTCGCCCTCCCCTCGCGTCGCGGCGATGGCGGCTGAGGTGCGTGCGTTCCTGGAGGTGCGGAGACGGCTGCAGAGCGCGCTGCTGGTAGTGGGGTGAGAGTGCGGGGCGCGGGGCGCGGGGCGGGGGGCGCGCCGGCTGCGGGACCTCCAAGTTTTCCTTCCAGACGCTTGCCGCGCCTCGACTACCCGGAGTGGCCCCGGGCCGGCACCCGAGCCTCCGAGCACGCCCGCGGCCCCAGCTGCCCCGGAGGCCGAAGCCGGACGGTGCGGCCACGCGGCGCCGCGGCTGGTCTTGAGCGAGAAGCGCAGGGATCCTCTCCAGGGCCCGAGTTCAAGGATCAGGACCAGCACGCACACCGGGCACGGGATGGAGTCCGTGCCCGTGGCAGCTGCCTGGCTGCCGGGCTCCAGCGCACGGTGGTTCCCGCCTCGAGGCCTCCTCCTCTCCCAGCCTGCTGTGCGCGGACGCGGACGTCACTAACGCGCCTGTGTGTGCAGATGTGGACCTCTCTAACACCTGTGTGTGTGCGCGGGCATGGACGTCACTAACACGCCTGTGTGTGAAGATGTGGACCTAACACCTGTGTGTGCGCGCGGATGCAGACGTCACTAACACACCTGTGTGTGCAGATGTGGACCTCTAACACCTGTGTGTGCGCGCAGGCGTGGACGTCACTTACACGCCTGTGTGTGCAGATGTGGGCCTCTCTTAACACCTGTGTGTGTGCACAGACGCGGACGTCACTAACGCCTGTGTGTGCAGATGTGGACCTCTCTAACACCTGTGTGTGTGCGCGGGCATGGACGTCACTAACACGCCTGTGTCTGCAGATGTGGACCTCTCTAACACCTGTGTGTGCGCGTGGACGCGGATGTCACTAACACGCCTTTGTGTGTGCACGGACGTCACTTACACGCCTGTGTGTGCAGATGTGCACCTCTCTAACACCTGTGTGTGCGCGCGCGGACGCGGACGTCACTAACACCTCTGTGTGTGCAGATGTGGACCTCTCTAACACCTGTGTGTGCGCGTGGACGCGGACATCACTAACACGCCTGTGTGTGCAGATGTGGACCTCTCTAACATCTGTGTGTATGCGCACGTGGACGTCACTGACACGCCTGTGTGTGCAGATGTGGACCTCTAACACCTGTGAGTGCACAGGCATGGACGTCACTAACATGGCTGTGTGTGTACAGATGTGGACGTCACTAACACGCCTGCATGTGTGCGCAGACTCGGACGTCAATAACACGCCTGTGCGCTGATGTAGACGTCACTAACACTGCCTGTGTGTGTGCGTGGAGATGGACCTCACTAACACACCTGTGTGTGCAGATGTGGACATCACTAACACCTGTGTGTGCACGATGAACGGCACTAACACTCCTGTGTGTGTGCATGGACGTAGATGTCACTAACACCTGTATGTGTCCAGAGATGGACTAACACACCTGTGTGTGCAGATATGGACGTCACTAACACTCCTGTGTGTGTGCACAGAGATGGACATCACTAACACACCTGTGTGTGCAGATGTGGACAGTCACTAACAGCTGTGTGTGCGCAGACGTGTATGTCACTAACACTCCTGTGTGTGTGCACACATGAACGTGGATGTCACATGTCTGTGTGTGTGCACAGAGATGAACGTCACTAACATGCCTGTAGGTGCAGACGTAGACGGCCACTAACACCTGTGTGTGCAGATGTGGACGGTCACTAGATCACTAGAACACCTATGTGCAGGGAGCACAGGAGAGGCACACTGGACCTTATTGCTTCATTCATTTCAAGGAGACTACACAAACTTTGGGAGAAAGAGGCTTTCTCCCCTTTGTTAGCAGCAGTTTTAATGGTTTGGACCCCTGAGTAGATTTTGTATGTTTTTCTTGTGACAGCTGTTTCACATAGAGGGAGTGAGATCTTAATATCTTGAAACTTTATTTTTCTTGTGCCAGTATCAGGGTTTGAATTCAGGACCTGGGCGCTCTTCCTGAGCTTTTTCATTCTAGGTTGGCTCTCTCTACCACTTGAGCCTCAGCTCCATGTCCAACTTTTTGCTTATTAATTGGAGATAAGAATCTCACAGACTTTCTTGCCTGGGCTGGCTTTGAACCACGAACTCATATCTCAGGCTTCTGAGTTGTGTTACATGTGTGAGCCAACATAACAAGCTTAGCTTATTTTAATGCTGGTTTGAGGAGCAAGGATAAAAACCAGGACACAGGACTTTGGTATTACAATGGCAATAAAGGGTCCTTTCTGGCCTAGGTCCAATGAGGATGGCTTCCTTCGAGATCTTTTTGCTAGTGTTTTTCTGGGTCATTGATGTTAGGGCCTCTGTGGGAGAGGCGCTGAGATCTTTGTCAGCTCCAGTTTCTTTAAGTAATTCATATGTTTTATATTTCTATTACCAGCGAACCCAGAGAAGGAGGCCTGCCCTTGGAAGTGAGTGTGAAGTGGTCCTCCCTGCAGGTGAGAAGCCCCGAGGGCTGCACTGACATCCAGCTTCCAGCAGAGGTCAGGCTGGCCCCTTCTACCTGCGGTGGGCTGCAGTATGTACCCGGAGATGGACTGCACCTGCGCCTGCAGGCCTGCGCTGAGCCCTGCCCCAGTGAGTAATGCGGCCCCTTTGAGTTTACTAGATGAGTCAGAGGTGATTTCCCTTCAAGGTGTGCTTTGCCTAAGGGAAAGACTGCTCATCCGTGGCCTGAGAGGGCTGGAGACTGAGGGAGTCCCCGAGGCTCAGGCTGCCCTGCTAAGGCTCTGTTTAGTGTTTTAGTTTTTTTGTTTTAAATAGACTTTAAGCTTTAGAACACTTTTAGGTTCATAACACTCAGCTGAAGGTACAGAGATTTTTCCTGTCCCATGGGGGCCCTCTCCCTCTCTCTCTTTTCCTTCCTTCCTTCCTTCTTTCCTTCCTTTCTTTTTGCTTCCTTCCATCTCTCCTCCTCCCTTCCCTCCCTTTGGACTGGTGCTAGGGCTTGAATTCAGGGCCTCAAACTCTTACTTGGCTTTTTCACTGGGCTGGCATTCTGCCACTTGGGTCACACCTCCACTCTGGTTTTTTTTTTCTCCCCATGGTTAATTGGAGATGAGACTCTCACAGATTTCCTACCTGAGCTAGTTTGAAATTGGTCCTCAAATCTCAGCCTCCTATGTAGCTAGGATTATAGTCGTGAGCCACCTCCACCTGGCTTTGTCTTGTTTCTTGAATGGTAAAATTTCCTGGCTTACCAGATTGCAATTGTGAAGAATCTGACATGAGATGTCCCATTGATATAAGATCATAGTTCAAAGCCAGCATTCCCAGAGATCCACTTATTCAGCAAATACTTCAGCTCATAGTATGTGCAGAGCATTGATCTTGCCCATTATACAGAAGGGAACATCCTCTTTTGGAGCATGCCTTCTAAGAGATGGCCCAGATCAGAACACATAAGTGAAGCTTGTGCTTAGCAAAGTACTGAGGTTAAACAAAGCCAAAATAACGGCACAGGCAGCGACTCAGGCTTGAGTGAAGGACTGAAAGTCAGGATATGACGTTTTGCGACTCAGGCTTGCGTGAAGGACTGAAAGTCAGGATATGACGTTTGACCATAGGGTGCAGTGGTGGAATTTACCCATCAGGCAGACACCATTGCAGATGTATGTGGAGATGCGTGCATGGGTGGTCCTGAGTAGACAGTGCTGTGGAATTTGATTGTTGCTAAGATGGTTACAATTTCAGGGTTGGGATGACATAAAAATTCAGTAAGACTGTAGAAGAGTGTCTTCCTATAAGATCTCATGATTATTTATTGCATAAAGTGACTGCTTCCTTGAGGACACAGTTTGTGAAGGACTGATGTTGTCGTTATTAGCAGAGAGGATCTTGCATCCTCTCCCCTACCGCCTCGGATGTCATTGCTTCTGCCATGTAATGAGTCTTTCCTTTGAGCTGTGTGGAACTTGGAGGAGGGGCAAAGGACTGCCCTAAGGAGCCTCCAGGTGTTGAACAGTTCCCTGGCTTGTGTGTGTGTTGTGTGAGTGTGGGGGTGTGTGTGTGCATGGGTGTGCACGTGTGTGCTTGCTGGTGTGATCCTGGGGCTTGAACTCGGGGCCTCATACTGTGGCTTGGCTTTTTCCATTCAAGGCTGGCACTCTCCTACTTGAGCCAGAGTTCCCTTCCAGATTTTGGTTGGCTAAATGGAGATCAGAGCCTCATGGATTTGTCTGCCTGGACTGACTTTGAACCTCAAACATCAAGTCTCAGTCTCCTGAGTAGGAAGGACTACAGCTGTGAGCCACTGGGTGCCTCATTTCCTGGAAAGATAGGAAAAGATATGTAATTTTGACTGCGGTTCTGGGTTTTGGGATGACTAGTGTGAGTGGTACAGAGTGGTTTTTCACAAGGGCTGGGGAGGAAGGCTGTCCTGGTCTTCATCTGGTCTTCATGGTGTAGGTGACACTAGGAATGAGGTTGGACTTTGTGGAGAGAAGGATGGACTTTTGGAGACGCTGTGCTCTAAGGCCGAGGCTCTGGGCTTTCTGTCTTCACCTTCTCCTCCAGCAATGGTAGCCATAGCAGGAGTCTGTGTGTCCAGGCCTGGAAGCCACTGTGGGAACTTGGGAACAGAGAAATTGAGAGCACCAGGCTCACAGTACTGGGTACTGTCCACACACACAAAGAAAAATTGGAAATTCTTTTCAAAATTTAGATCAACATGCACTGTTTAGTCTTAGCTGTTGGACTACAGAATGGATGGTTCTGTGTGGATTTGCATATTGTTTGTGTTCCTTGGCCTCCTGTTTATTTTATTAGAATGTATGAAAGTAAGGCACTCAAAGGCCTGTGCTGTGGTGTGTGACAGGGTATTCAAAGAAAGTTCCGGGACACTTAATTGCTTTAAGCTTTCTGCCAATGTGTGAATAATTATCAGGCAGGTGCATGCTGACGTGAGCATAGGCTAACCTGACTTGGAATTTTTTAGCACTGTTGAGATTTGGGTTTGGGGGTTTTTAACAGTTGACTTTTGAACTGTAAGAACACCCTTTTGGCAACAGCTGTAGTTAGCATTATATGGATGTGTCCTGTTTGCCCATTAGAGTAACACAGCTGGATCGCAGCCCCTGTAGAGGGCCTGCCTCAGCCCTGTCTGATAGGCCGTGCTCACCCCCTCCCCCCCCCCCCCCCACCTCCCTCAGGCTCCCCCCCTCCCCAATCCAACCAATTCTGGCGTTCAAGCTGGGCTAGTGCCCAGCAGAGGGCAGTGTTACACTGGAAATGTGTTTATTGTCTCTGGAAGGATGATTGTGGGTTCCTTAGCTAGGGCCTCTTCTTATCTGCCCATAGATAAAGGATAATATTTTATTTCACCTTTGTGCACTAGAGATTTGTGTGGACCCTGAGAAATTATACTGTGGTATTTTCAATTATTGCCAAGGCTTAAACTTTCCAGTATTTTGTGATTTTGTGTGTGTTGGTTGTAATCCTTAAAATTCATACAAATTAACACGAATTTAAGATTGCTTGCTGCATCTAATAGCTACAGCCCTTTTTCTTCAAATTTTTTGAACATGGACAGATCCTTTAGTGTTTCATTTGTTTAGAAATGAAAGTTTAAATGGAATAGCAGAAGTGAAGAAGAGCGCCATGTGGACAGAATGCCATGCTGTGGTCCATAACGTGGGGAATACACACGTCCCACAGGTCTCACTGACACTGAATTTCACGCTTTTGGGACTCTGCTATACGCTGTCCTGTTTTCAGAGCATTTCCCTGCAGAGACCAGTTCTGCTCACCATCCCTCTGGCTTGTACAAACCACCAACAAGTGTGCCAGAGTTGACACAGATCTTGTTGAAATCAGATGTAACTTAAATTTTAGGAGTCTCTCTTTCATGCTGGTACTTATGGAAGGAGAGAAGCATCGTGCTCAGAAATACTTGGCAAAATCTGTTGTTTCTGAATGCTTTCTCATAATGTTTGCTTCTGATTGACTCATCAGATAATCCCAATTAAAGGTGTTTATCTGGGGAGATGGAATTGGTGTGTGTTGATGGTAAGTTATTGTGGCTAGTAAGCTTGTTAAATATGTTAATACATTTGTTCCAGTCATCTAAGACTTGCTATTTCATTGATTTCTTTTAGAACTGGTTTCAGTGTTTAATCAAAGCCCACAAGCCCAGGAACATTACACCTTTTATTGCCAGTCCTGCGGTGATGTCATAATAAGGGACAGGTAAGGAGTCTGTTTTAACTCTGATTAGTTCTGAGCCTGGCAGTGGCTTCTAGTTTCTCTGTGGCAGTTCTTCAAGTCATTGCTAGAGTAGCTGGCCTTGAAATGAGGGTTCAGTGTCGTTGTGAACAGAACCAGCCACAGCTCACCAGCAGTCAGAATGGTGATGAGAGAAGGGAGGATGCTGGTTTGAGGGAAGCGGGCTGTGTTTGGAGGGCCTGGGCTGATTGCCCTAGGACTGCTCACTAACCATCGTGATGGTGAGCCAGGTCTTCCATGTTATGTGAATTTTCTGTCTCACAGAGGACTTTTTAGTCAGCTATTTCTAAGACACCTACCCTGCCTTTAATAAAATCCATTTCCTGTTTCTCCTGTTCATTAAAAGTGAGCACACCTGGTACAGATGACCCTTTCTCCAGTGGTAAGGATCATCTGACCCACTACAAGAAGAAGGGGCTCTTGGCTCTTTTTCTTTGCATTCCCAAATTGACTTTAAATTGCACTTTTTTTTTTTTTGTATCTTCTCTTCCTCTTTTCTTGGATAGAAAGCTTTTCCTTTTATTCTCAGCTTCTCATCACTCATAAGCTGAGGAGATAGATGAAAACCTTATTCATTTGCTTGATTGATTGTACTGGGGTTTGAGTTGAGGGCCTTGTGCCTGTGAGGCAGGGCACTGTACCTCTGGAGCCATGCCTCCAGTGCCCTGCAAGTCCCTGTGTGAATCTGCACATAGACTCCCCTGACCCCTCCTGTTTAAGTCTCTGTCCTGAACCTGTGTTACCTAGGTAACTGACACACCTGGGGTCACATCCTGGACCAGCCCTTCAGGCCTTCCTCTGATTGGGAGGTTCCCAGGCTCTGAGGTCACATCCACAGGCAGCGTGGCCACACCCTCTCCCCTCCTGGCCAGCCACGTGCTCTCCCCCTTTTTCCATGTGTGTCTCCAACCTGCACTGGGGGATGGTTACGAGTCAACTTCTCTTTCCAGCCTGAAGACCACGTGGCAGTTTCCTTTCAGATAACCTAACTCAACTTTTTTTTTTTTTTTTTTTGGTTGGTCGTGGGGTCTGAACTCTGGGCCTGGGCACTGTCCCTCAGCTCTTCAGCTCAAGGCTAGCGCTCTACCACTTGAGCCACAGCACCACTTCTGGCTTTTTTCTTTTTGCTTATGTGGTGCTGAGGAATCGAACCCAGGGCTTCAGGCATGCAAGGCAAGCGCTCTACCACTGAGCCACCTTCCCAGCCCCTAACTAAACTCTTAACATGCTGGAGACTGTGGATGTGTCTACAAGCCGGTTCTGCACTTTCTCTACCCTTGTCTCCATAATTCCGCCCCATTCGTGGTCACCAGGTGCTGTGGCTACTTCACTTGGGAGCTGAGTCCCCATTCCTCCAGGCGGGCCCGCCTTCTTACCCCCGTGACCAGCCATCTGCCTGCTCCACCTCCATGGATTGTTCCAGAATGCCGCTGGTTCCTCCGTGCAAACCTTCCATGGTTTCCTGTTCTGCTAACTCCTGCATTTTCAGCTCCTCCAGGATCCTGCCTGCCCGGCCTCACTTTCCAGCCCTTTTTCTCCAGCCTCCTCCTCCAGCACACGGGGCACAGCTCTGGCGTTCGGTGTGCACAGCCCCAGTCTCTCCAGCTTTTCTTCACCCCAGGGTCCTATGACAGGTCCTTCCCTTCTGGTGGGCTCCTGACCGCACTTCACAGGTGTGCTGCCCGTGCCCCTGCGACGGGACCTGCGCCTGCGCTACGACCCGCGCCTGCGCAGTGCCTCCGTAGGTGCTGCCCTAAAGCGCGTCTCTGCTTTCACGAGGAACCTCCAGGCTGTTGAGAGCGGGGACAGTGCTGTTGCCCTTTGTGCCCTCCCTCCCTTCCTTCCTTCCTGGCATGCGCAGTAGTGTGGACTCAGAAGCCAGACTTGGGTTTGCAGCTGCCATTTCCTAGCAGTGTGACCACGGTCAAGTTTCTTCACACCTCGCTGTCCTCCCTGAGAACATGTGGATGATAGTAATAACCCTCACCAGCCAGGTTCTCGTCCCTCAGGCCACCGGTGTGATCTGAGGATGTGGTTTGAAGCCAGCCAGGGCAGGATGAGATTCTTGCCTCCAGTTAATCACAAAAAAGCAGGGCACTAGCCCTGAGAAAAAGAATCTCAAAGATAACTCCCAGGCCCTGAATTCAAGCTCTGGGACTGGCATCTATAAGATAAATTAAATATACTAGGTTTAATTAGGTAGATGATGAAGAGAGCGCCACGTGGTATTCAGGCAGGAAAAGAAGTATTTAGACCTGCTGCTCCCCCGCCCCACCCCATGGTGGAGAGGCATAGCATGACTGGGAAGGGGCTAGGTAAAGGAATGTGTGGCCACACACTGGATGCAGATATGACCTCAGGGCCTAGGATCCTCCCCTGGTCTAATGGGAAGAAGGGAGGGGGGAGGGGGGAATGTGACCTCCAAGGTGTACCAGTTACCTAGGTAACACAGGTATGGAGACTTAGCCAAGAGGAGCGAGAAGCCTACCTCACCTTCCCAGAGTGAACCTTACCACACCAAAAAAATAATAATGATTTTTTTAAAAAAGCCCTTACCTCCCATAGCTGGGGCTGTGGAGTGAGTCTTCATGGCCTGGCATGGGCCTCCCTCCGTGTGTGCTGGCTACTGTGATCATTGTTATTCTGATCAGATCCGAGTCTCAGGCACAGTGCCTAGTGAATAGTGTGGGCAATAAATTCCTGCTGGCTTGGGTGTGTTTATTTTGGCTTTTTTTCTCGCCTGCTTGATGCACTTGGCAGCATCCCCGGGTGGAAGAGGTGAGGTGCATGCGCGGCAGCCTCAGGGTGCTGTGTTCAGTAGGACAGGAGGTGACATCCGGGCAGGGCACCTACAGGTCAGCATGGCTACCCGGGTCAGGCCGGCTGACAGGCCCACACCACCTGAAAAGGCTGAGAGATCACCATTTGTCTTTCTTAGTCTACGTCAGGCTGGTGTCGTTCTCAGAAGTTGCTGGAACACCCCCTCCTTACGCAACACCAGGTGTTCTGAGTTTCTCAGTGTGTTCTGCTGCCCGCCAGATGCAAGGTTGGGTCCCATTTGAGTTTCATCAGCAGTGGGGAGTCTCATCGCTAGTGCTCCTTTTCTAGTGCTCACTTTATCTAGGAGCTGAGCCTTCTGTGTGCGGGGTTGAGGACTAGAAGGGTGTGGAGGCCACCCCTACTCCGTCTCAGCCTTCACCCCCTAACTCACCATGGGGAGTCCTTGGGCCTGGAGGGCCAGAGCAGGGGATGGCCCCCTGTTTTGAACTCGAACTTTACCACTTGATAGCTGAACCTGGCCTCCATCAACTCAGCTGCTTCCATCCAATTTTCCATTTTCCAAACTTGTCACGCGGGCTAAGGAATAGAGCATACGTAACAGTTGATGCTCAACCAGCTCTATTAAAATTAGATGTATGGTTTCTACTGCACCTGCCCCATTTTTTCTAGTTGTTTCTTAATAAACTAGGAGATCATTTAGGGCTTCCAACATTTATGTTCAAGGACTGTGATTCACATAGACTGTGTGTGTCAAAGAAATGAATCTGGGTCTGGGAAGGTAGCTCAGTGGTAGAGTGCTTGCCTTGCATTCAAGAGGCCCTGGGTTTGATTCCTCAGCACCACATAAGCAAAAAGAAAAAAGCTGGAAGTGGTACTGTGGCTCAAGTGGTAGAGCGCTAGCCTTGAGCTGAAGAGCTGAAGGACAGCACCAGGACCAGAGTTCAGACCCCATGACCGGACCCCCTCCCCCCCCCAAAAAAAAAAAAAGAAATGAATCCTTGTCTTTCTCTGGAAGATAAGCCAAAAAAAAAAAAAAAAGTGGACATCACCCTTCCCATAAGCAAACCTTATATGAAAGCCTGTGCTCCACATCTGTGTATGGTGCTGTGTATGGGGGCTTCCCTCCCACCCCCAGCACATGAGTGAGGAACTGAGCCCAGCCTCTCCTGGGTCCCTGTGGGCAGGCCCTCTCCCCTGAAGCCCTTCCCCAGCCCTGTTCCATGCTTTCCATTTAAAGGTGATCTGTGCTATTTCCAGTTCTGCAATAATCAGCTCCAGGGTCTTCATACTTCCCCCTCCCTTATCTGATCTTATGAATAGCATGCTCAACTTTGGTGTCCCTTAAACAAAAAGCAAAACCAAAAAAGCTTGTGCTTGTGGTCATCAACATCAACTCATTGGCCAGGTGCTGGTGGCTTGCACCTGAAATCCTTGCTACTTGGGAAGCTGAGATTGGTAAGATCATGGTGCCAGGCCAGCCTAGGTAATTGGTGAGATTCCCATCTTCACAGTGGGGGAATGTGGATGTGGTGGCTCAAGTCTGTAACCAGGCTGGGAGTGCAATCCTACATTAAAAATAACCACCTAGGCTAGGTGCCAGTGGCTCACGCCTGTAATCCTAGCTACTCAAGAAGCTGAGATCTGAGGATTACGGTTCAAAGCCAGCCCAGGCAGGAAATTCCATAAGACCTTTATCTCCAATAAAGCACTAGAAATCCAGAAGTACTGTGGCTTAAACAGTAGAGTGCTCCCCTTGAGCTGAAGAGCGCAGGGACAGCGCCCAGGCCCAGAGTTCAAGCCCCATGACTTACAAAGAAAAAAAAACAAAACACCTAGGCACACTAGTGGTGGAGCACCTGTGTACCAATTGTGAGTTCTTCCCCTGCCCTGGGCAGAGGGGTGGGGGGAGTGGGGAGTGGGACTTTTGAACCCAAAGCCTGAGCAATGTCCCTGAGCATTCACTTTCTCCTTTCCTCTACCAAACCCCCGCCCCCTACTCTCTTGCTCAAGGCCAGCTCTCTGCCATTTGAACCACAGCACCACTTTTAGTTTTTTGGTCATTTATTGGGATAGTCTCACAGACTTTCCTGCCCAGGCTGGTTTTGAACTGCAGTCTTCATATCTAAGCCTTCTGAGTAGCTAGGATTACAGATGTGAGCCACCAGCAGCCTAGTAATTGTGAG